CCCCCCCCTAAAAATTAGGGCTGGTTCCGCCCCTAACTGCATGGTGTAGCACCAAAAAAATTATTGTGAAATTATTGGCAACACTATTGTATCTATCAAAGTCAAACACTAAATTTTCCTTAGTGTCGCATGACTCCCTAAAACTTGACTAAAAATATAGCCATGACTCATTATTTTATGTGCTAATAACAATAAATAGCAAAGGATAAATTTATGTATTGACATCTTGCATGCTCTTTTGAATCATTGGATACAAGCATCCAAAGAAAAGAATCATTGGATACAAGCATCCAAAGAGAAATATACATACTTAAATTGTCCATCACTATTTTGTTAGAGATCAATAACATCCTTGGATTTTTTTTGTATATAGCATAAACATATAAGATGGTAGCTTCTAAAAGGATGCTTTGGGAGACCAGCTTGCCTATGTTATTGCTCAGAACACTGTCGATAAATTAATATTGCAACCTGTCATCATGTTTGATATAATTGTCTTTGGCTTCATGTTAAGATCAAAAGCTACAAGTTTATCTTCAATCATATGTCTAGTGAGTCACAATTAATCTTATTAGTGGCCTTTAGATCTTATATGAATGTATAAGCAATTTTGTGTAAGGCTTATATCTTGAATATACTTGAATTAGTCAGTTTTTCACTTGGATCGATCACTCATAAGCTTCACGAGCATTTCTTTGAAGAGCAACAATGTACGTCTTTACTTGACTTATTCATCTTAAATTGAAAAAAAAAAATCATGGCATATACTTGTAACATCAATGTTAACTTCTCCTTGCTCTCAAATAGTTGCGTAACATATAACTTAACAGGGGACAATTTCAAGTATGATGCTAATAAAATAGTAGCTATTAAATTTTGAGATACCGTCATGCATTAACCCTTGTAGGTTGGGACTTGGGAGATATTCATATATTGTAAATATCTTGAATTATAATTTTGTTTATTAAATAGATGGAGATTTAGAAAACCTTAGTCATTTACTAGCTAGTGTCAAGTTGATCACAAATTATGGTTAACATCTCCAACGGATAGTTAAGATTTGAAGCATCCATTGAAGCACTATCACTTAAAGCATGTGCGCCCATAGTATAACCTATTTATGCATGTGAAATATGCTCGTCATCTCCCCCACCAATGAAAGATAGTGAACTTACTAATCTTGTATCAGGATTATTTACATAAAAAATTATTATTGAAATCTTCTTTTGAGTAACGATTAGACAGATAGGAGCACCATATTTTATGAATAATAATATCTCCTAAAAAAACAAGATCATCATCCGTAAGTAGATTAGTTGGAAGAATTGATGGTGTTTTTCCAAAGCAATACATTACCTCTTGTTTTAGAATAAATTGTTAAACGACCTCTTTCAGTTTAAATATAAGATCATTGAAATTGTTAAAGGAAATATTTCTTTGTATCTTCAATCATATTTTTTTCATAAATATCCAACAAATTCACATATCTTCTTTCCTTCCTCCTCCATATAATATAAAAATGTTATTACTTGATTTACCTAAAGAAAATATTTCATCAGTATATATCTCTGCTACTCTTAATCAAACAATATTTGATTATGTTCAAATAATGATTAAAAAATAATAGAATAATTATCAAACCAGGATTGAATATAATCAAATTATATTCAAAGACATAATCATCCTTTAAGTAGAACACACTAAAACATATACATTGTTAAGACATGTTCATGCCTTATTTATCAAATAATGTTTGGAAATGGTTGGAATAAAGATCAAACAACATAGACTATGATAACTTAAATCATATTCAATCATGGTTCTAATAAAGTCTCAACATAGTTCAAGCACATGTTTTAACAAGTATCAAAACATACTATTTGATATAATAACTCATATTTTGATCTAACCAAATATTTTTTTTAGGAGTCACTATAAATTCAAATCACAAACTATCTTCATCATGAAATAGATATTATAGTGATTTTTCTGTTTTGGTGGAAAAAACTTACACGTTAGTAAAAAAAGGAATTACAAGACCTTAAAGAATCAAAAGCCTCCTAAAAATACAAGAAATAAAACAAAATCTAGGGCTAATGTTCAAAACTAATACGATACACAAGCAAAGAAAACAAACGACAGCCAAATAAGCAACCCAAGCAAAACAAAAACCAAGTAAATAATAGTTATTCACGAACATTCGTTGGAGACTAATTGACTTGTGCAGGTTGGTGGGCCGACAAGCCTTATTTGAAACAAGTGGTTTGGTGTTATCCTTGACTGATTCATGTGATACACTGATTGAGTATTATAACGAGATGATTACTATGTCAACGGGAAAAGAGTGACGACACTATTTACAGAGCCAATGATATACTGATATTGATATGATACTGAAAAACACTACTTAAATCAAGTCTTCTTACTTATTTGGTATGACTAATAAAATATATATTATTGATGCATTGTTCCTATTACTGTACGCTTTATGGTTATCACACGGATATACAGTTATATCATTATTTTATTACTCATGTCACTGATTTTATTATTACTGATACGGACACTGATACTGTTTGATACTATTGATTCATTGTATTATACTAAATATATTGAGCATGTGACATATTAGATAACATGTGTACATAGTTATAGAATTTTATTGTATTGAAATGAGTTCGATAGTTCTTTACTGATGCTTTAGTTTTACCGCTTTATATGATTGATAGTACTGATACGACAATTGTTTCATTGATTCGACAACAATACTGATTTCAATATTATATTATTTTAGTGGCTTCCATTTCATATTATTTTCCTGTTTACATAATCTACTGCTAATGCATATAAGCTTTACTATTTTTGCACTGATTCATTATCATGTGATTACTACTACTATGATTTAATTGTTGAAATGTATATTGCTTCTTCATTGTGCATGAAGTTTAATAGTTAGATTCAGTTACTTGCTGGGCTCTTGAGCTCATTATATGCGTTTAAATTATTTCAAGTCAAGACAATGGAGCAGGAGTGTGAGAATGACCACGATCCTTCATGTTCATATTATTATTATTTTAGTTATTCGTTTGTACTCAAGGCATGAAAGATATATTATGACTATATAAATTCTGAATAATGTACATGATTTTTGGGAGCAATGATAATATAGATAGATACATATATATTTTGAATTCTACAATTTATTTCTACTATTTATATTGATAAAAAAATAGGTAGCTCTAATTATTTATTAAAAGATAAAATAATCATTCTTCCAAATTAGATTTCGAGGCATCAAACTTGATATTCTATCTATGTCAAAATTAGATCACAATCAAAATGAACTAATTTATTATACACAATGGAAGCTTAAGAAAAAGTGCTCATGGATGTTAAGTCACACATAAAAGAAGAAATCTTCAACTCGACCAGCGTAATCCCTCTTGGGTAAAGAATTTTAAATGAAGGAACAACGATGATAGCAATGGAAAAAGCCGAAGTGATAAGCATTTGTAAATATATAATAAAAATTGAACAGAATTAAAATATGAAGCATAAAAGAAACATAATAAATAAATTCAGTAAAGTTATAATTAAACACATTATTATTTTGAACAACGGGCTTCTTTATAGTCATAATTTGAGGAACAATCATTACGTCCTCCGAGGACATAGAGGAACGTCCGGTCGGAAGTCAAATCACGTCAAAAAATGAGAAATATCGAGAAATACCAAGCAATACCAAACAATAACGAGGAAACTCGGTACAACTCGGTATACCGAGTTATACAAAAGTTGTACCAAGTTTTTCCTAGAAAAAACTCGGTACAACTCGGTATTGCTCGGTATAGCTCGGTATAACTCAGTATTGGTCTTCACAGAGCGGTATTCCTCGTTATTATCAAATAATACCTAGCAATGCCGAGCAAATACCGAGTTTTTTGGTGGGATTTTGCCTCCAACCGGATGTTCCTCTACGTCCTTACACCGGACCTAATAAAAAGATGAAATCAGAGAGGAGTTGAGCCCGAGACGGGCGCCTTAGATCCCATGTGGGCTTCACGAAAGAGCACGAGACGGTAATGGGATTGGATAATCAGGGGGAACTTACGTCCAAATAGGGAAGAAAAGAAATGTAGTTTTTTTTTTCCATATAAGCTTTACTTTCTTTTATTTTAAGCCATCATATTTAATATACAACGGCTCAAACGTCTTGTATATGAATCACCCAATTTTTCAAAATCAAAACCAAATTTTACAATTCAATAGTCAAATCACCGGCTTAAATGGTCTAAGACCAATTCTTTGTAAAACCGATTTTAAAGTAAGCCGCAACCGACCGGCCAACCAATTTGGTCCGATTTTTAAAATCTTGATTAATCTTATATCACTATCTTAATATTTTTCAATTATTATAAATTTATTTTAAATTTTACATAATTATGAAGATGAAAAATTTGTAGTATAATAAATAGGCTCATGCAAAGATGTCCATGCAAAGCATTATATATATATATATATGCTGAATATTTTTATAAGTGATCACATATTTGTATGAAATATAGGGAGGGTTTCTCTCTAGTTTTTACTTGAAATGCCATATACTTTTAACATAGGATATGCTTCAAATGATTTTCTTATTTATTTGTAAAGCTATTTTTTAGTGTAAAAATTTCTTTAAAAAAAAATACTTAAAACTATCCCAAACGAAACCTTAACTTATCTTCATTAGACCAAATTCATTTGATTTAAGGCGTGACTCTTAGATAATCAATATCTTGATGACATGTATTCTTTGAAAATAAGGGACACCTTAAACCCAAGGGGAAGTCGAGCCAATGAGGCAGGTTTTCTGTGCAATCTAAACAATTGAGTCTCACTTACACTTTTCCTTTGACTTTCCATTCACTGTGCTAAGAAATGCCCTCTCGAGATATTATTATGGGCAGACACTAGATGATTCTCCCGTCCGATATAGCTTGGTATCGGGCACGGTACTGCTTTCAATATTGAGCACGGTACACTTTTTGGGTGACAACGCATTTTTATTACCTTTGAATGAAGTCCGGACTACGCGCAAAATAATTTGCCCCTCACAAGGTATTACTTCTTCCCATCAAATGTATCATCAACGAAGGTCTTGGACCACCGCCCTTCCTTAAATAAGAATGCATCAGCTAAAAGGATTTCACGCAGGTTTATAGAATTGTTTTTTAGTATTCAAAGAGAAAAATACGATAAATTATTCTGTGCGGACGCCGAACGCTATCCGAAGACCAACTGGAATGAGCAACATCGGTACCACGGCTGGGCACCGATCCGTACCACGCTCGGTATTACTGACGTGGCTCATTCTGATTGGTCTCCGGATGTAGAGCTGCGTTCGACATCTACACAGAATAATTTCTCAACAAATACTGCAAAATTGAATCTTTCATACTTAAAACTAGTTGAAAATAGATTGCAACTGCACTGTGTTGAATGCAAAGCTAAGAATTTTAACAGAGGAAAACTCGCAACCACAAATCTGTGGAAGAATACCTTGTCGGAGTTCAAAATAACCATAATCTCCATTAAATTCCTAAAAGAGAACAGCCAAAAAAAAGAAAAGAAAATAATAGCCAGGAACCATAGGAGTGCTTACTGATGCCATTGACCAAGTGCACTCCAGCAAAGGAAATGACAGGTGCAAGTCGCACCTGCACAGACACGATCGTCATTTTCTACACGATTTAATATATACTAATAGACATTGGGACCCTCAACTTACCTAGCAAGGGAAAATCATAAAAATAGCAAAAGATACAGACTGCAAGAATGGAATATTTAAGAAGCCAGTACCCGTCCAATCATTCCCTGTGTCCACAAGGCAGTCTCCTTCAACTGATCATCCTCGGAACTGAAACACTCTCCCAAGAAATTAACGTGGAAATTAGCATTTTTAAGCAAGATTTTGATGCTGGGACCAAGCGTATCGGCGAGATCGCCGATCACCGCAACTGCAGCCTTTGTTACCGCATCATCCCTAAATTGGATAAACAAAAGGTAAAGGGTTAATATACAACAACAACAAGCTTTTATCCCACTACGTGGGGTCGGCTATATGAATCCTTTTTCTCCATTGTACCCAATTAAAAGTCAAAGTCTCATTTAAATCTAATAAAGAAATATCATTTCTAATAATTTCTAATCAAGTCTTTTTAGGTCTGCCTCTACCTTTGTTAACATAAGTTAAATATACTGCCTCTACTTTCCTAACCGGGTCATCGGAAGGCTGCTGTTTTATGTGACCAAACCATCTAAGGCGACTCTCTCTAATCTTATCTTCTACTGGAGCTACTCCAACCTTTTCACGTATATGCTCATTTTGTATCTTATCTCTAAGGATAAAGCCACTCATCCACTTGAGCATTCTCAATACGTATCCTAACTTAGATTTCTCATTAGGATACAATGAAAAAAATGGAAAGAGTATCAGAAACAGCTACCTGTTTGACTCTATGAATACAGCTTCTGTGAACTGCAGAAGATGATTAGCAAAAGGCATCATCAGCTCTGCCTTTGAAGTTTTGAATCCTTGGAGAATACCAGAATATGCTTCGAAGATGCCTCGTCTCAATTGATTTCCATATTCAAGCATTTCTTCATCGTTGTCATCCAAATTAGCGCAGAGCTCTGCAGCCCCCTGAAGCATTGGCATGACATATGGTACATACTTCTCAAAATTCTCTCCAATGGCAAGGGCGATGTCCCCGAAGCAGGAGAATAATGGAGCTTTAACCGACCGATGAAGCATGGAATTTGATAGATTCTTGAGAAGATTGGTCATGATTCCATCACAGTATGGAAGGATCTTATCATCCACAGCACGACAAATATCTCCGACGACACCAACAGATATAGAGCAGACCTGGTACTCTTCATAATTCTGCAAACCCATTTCAAGATATTTATAGAACTCGGGCAAGTACTTGACAAATTCTTGACCAGTAGCATAAGCAAAAGCTCCAATGGCAAGCATGGCTTCTTCATGCACAGTAGAGCTTTGACAAGCAAAGACTCTCAGGAACAATGCCATTAATTGATCGGCAGCCTGAAGAAAGATTAGTTTAGTATCATCAGAGGTACACAATTTCTGTATTATTACTTGCAGAACACCGCAGAGCGATGCTTGCAGATCACTCTGTTTCTCTTTTTCTTCGGAACAGAGTATTTGAAGCTCCACATTCCTGCCTAACCTATTCATGATTTCACCAAGTAATTGTGCAATCATATTGGTCGTCTCAGGAATTTGACTGCACCTTACTATTTCATTCAGAGTCTCATAAGCAGAAGATCGTAGTTTGGAGCTGCTGACATCGGTGCGATCTGTAGTCCAAAGGAGAGCAGAAATAATCTGGCCCAAGTAAGGTGTGAGAATTGATGAATCCGACTCCGCATCTTCGTATCCCTGCGCAAGAAAATAGATAGCACCACAAACCTTGTCGGCCACATTGGGGGCATCCCTAATACCTTCCAGCAAGACAGAAATGATGCGCTGGAGATTGGAAGGTGTCACCACTTGGTATTCACAATTAGAAGAATGCAGAATCTCAAATATCCTACCCAAAGTCCATGCTGTGGTATCTTTTACTTGGCTATTCTGATCATTCATGGCATTCAACAGGAAATCTAGTCCAGCATGAACCATTGGTAAAAGCTTTTCAATGGAAGGACCTTCAAGAATGGATCCAAATGCAAAAGTAGCTGCCTCACGACTCCTCCAATCAGGTTTAGTGATATTACCCTCAACAAAAGGCATAACGAGGGGCAAAATTTCATCACAAACAGTTTTAGCAACAAGCCCAAGGCAAGTACCACCAGCCATGGAAAGATTCCATATGCTATCGTCTTGATCTTGATCCTCTTCTTGCTTAAGTAGCGTCTCCAGCAACATAGGAACAAGCATAGAAAGAGCTCTTTGTATGAAATTATGATAACCCTCAGAGCTTCTAACATCATCTCCGTCATATTCATCTTGTATTTGAATCTCCATGTCACATATTGAGCTCCAAAACTCAACAGCTTGAAGTGCAACTGACTCCTCATCCCCCTTCACAGCATTTGCAGTCAAACTGAAAAGTGCTTCCATGTAAGGCCCAAGAATTTCATAGTAGATGGAAGCTATAGAAACAAGGCATTCAAAAGCTGCTTGTCTGATCTCCGACTCCTCTGATACAGCTGTTTCACATACTATTTTCATGATATAATTCCTCTCCATCTCATTCTCAAAATTAGTCTGTGCAAAATCAAGAGCATTATATAAGGACCTCACAGCAGCCAGACGAACTTTATAGCTCTCCTGCACCCCACTCATTCCTTGTACGACAGCGGTAAGGACAGCATTTACTTCTTGTTGCTCCAAATCTTGAGGAGAAATTTCTTCACAAACATATCCCAGTGTCTCTAATGTTGCCTGTCTCAGAGTAGCTGGTGTATCCGGTTGGGTCATGTTGGCTAGAAGTCGCCCAATGAGATCCGGCCATTCTCTTCGAGGTATTTCAATGGATGCAACCTTAGCAATCACTTGAGATGCAGTTTGACTTGCCTCAGATACAGGTGATCTTAGCGTTAGTAGTAGAGATTCCTTGATTTGGACTTTGAGAGAAGCATCAACATTGACCCATTGTTGAGTTAAATCAGCTTTTCTAAGGGCATCCTTAGCATCTAATGAGTTCTTAAGGATAATGCCAGCAAGCCTTCGTGATTCTGGAGGTTTAAGATCATCAGCTAATTCAACACTCAAGGACAACAGAAAGTGAGGGAGGTTTTGCTCCTGAAATTGCTTAAGAGTTTCCTCTGCAGCACTTCGAACACGCCCATCAGCAGATTGGGCAGACAAAAGAAGCTGGGTAATCTGCAATGACATGCTGAAGATACTGCAAAACAACACAAACTTTATATAAAGAGAAGGATGACAATCAGGAAAAATGCAGCCAAGCCTTATAAGTTACTGGAGATGCACTCAAGATAACCATGTAAGTTATAAACACTGAAATTTAACATGTAGCAAATTTCTAACAAATCTTTTCAATCGATTGCAGCACCAATAGTTAGTGGGATGAAAATCTACAATTTTTCTTCAATGCATTTGGACTGATGTCAGAATCTTAGGATAGTTGCTTATGTAGTGAATCGGTGGAACAAATGGACCTACTATAAGGAACACCCAATTTGGGAAACAAACAAAGGCTCCAAGGCTTTAAAGGAGTATAATATTCACCAAGCTTTTCTAGGACAATACTAGCAATATAAACTAGCCATAGGACATTCTAGACTCTCTATGTAGCAAACATGTAACAACTAGATAAACTATTCCTAAAGAGAACTTTAGCTAAAATGTTCCACATCATATTCCCCTTGTATCAAAAGAGCTCGACTCCGTCGAGGCGTATTACCAGTAGGGGGTAGATGTAAAAAATATAACCAATCATCCTGGGTCAAAGATTATGCGTCTCTCAACGAAAGCACCAATCTTTACCTATCTTTTCCAAATCTCACATTTCATTGTTCATTACTGAAAGCATTCTCTTGCCAGAACCCATTGACTTTGTTGTACTACAGCTTGCACCTTCCTTCTTCCTTCCACTTATAATGGCAGATGCAATACCTCCAAAGGCTATTTGCTCTACTGTTTTACCCAGCAACTCATCCACAGCTGCCATTAAGATCTATTTGGAGCACAGCTTTTCAAGACACACAATAGCCAATCCATAATAAAAAACTTTTGGACTACATAATTTCTAAACACATCAGAAAATGCTTGAGGCAACATTTCAACAGCATAACCAACAATATCCGAAAGTTCATAATCAGCCTCCAACAGTGAGGATGCAAGACCATCATTCATATGGCCATCATTATCCAAATGCCAAGAACCCATGGCATTTCCAAAAAAGTTTCTTATGTTAGAAGGAAAATGCATGTTCCATCAGCCATGTCTCAAAGGACTGCTTGGTCTAACAGGAGATGCACAGAGAACAAAGCTTGTCACAGGACTTGTCAGAGGACTTCCTGGATAAGACATATTTAGACTACAAGCAGGATTGTCATAATAACCATATTTACCATAACCTAGCCCAACAAATTTGGGATCAGATCCTTTAGCGACATTACGTCAAACAGCTTGAGAGCACTGCGATGGATTAGCTTTGTCAGAAGAAGTCAGACCGAGCATTTGCACACCTCCAGCAGAAACGTCTCAAATACCACTTCCATCAGAATCCAACACTTCATCGGAGTCGAGAACAATCTGCCCATCTGCGTTGCTTGAATGATCCCGAGAGACCAGAAGACTTGAATGAGAACTAGAGGAAATCCTCTCCATTTCCCTTATAGTCTACTTTGTTGCCTAAGGACTATCCAAGATAGCAACTCTTGCCGGGCCATCAGATATTTTGTTAACTTCATCTTCATTAGGGATAGAACAATGCTCTGAACACACCACCACCCTCTCATCAGCAATTTCTCGACTCTAAGTACTTCTTTCACTAATCTCACTAGAATTCAATTGATCAAGATCATCAGCAATACTCTTTGAAGACAAATTTTTAGTAGTATTTCCTTAAGTATTCTCATCCCCACCACAGCTTCTTTTACACTGACAATCACGGCGGCGTTCGCAATGTCGATACCGATCTCGATCACAGTCGCAGTCGTGATCTGAGCGATGGTTGGAATCAGTGGCCATGGTAGCATTCTGGGAGAGGTCTACTGCTTCAAGATTCGTGCATCCAACGAGCTCATGTGGAATGCCTCCTTCAAACATGTTCTGCCATAAGTACAGAGTTTGGAGATTGTCCAATCAAATGAACTATGGCGAGGTGGCGCTGGAGATCTGATAATTATCTAGCTCTAGGTTTGTTACATTCTGGCAATGGAAAAATGTCAGAGGAATGGCGCCAATTGATGTGGTGGGGTCGCAAGAGCACAGTGGGAGCAAAAAAGCAAGCTTAGAGTTGGTGGGAGTAAAGTTTGGACGAGCAATGGTGGGTGGATCGTAGGTTCGGTAGCCAGAGAAAGCAGAGGCGAAATTGGAATCTTGCGTTTGGAATCATGTGGCAGCTACTTCGACAAATTCCAGATTTCAATCGTTGTGTTTGTCTCTCTCAGCCAGAAAAACCAAATCATGTTTGATTCTATTTTGCGGATCAAAGGACTTCTAGTCGGGTTATAGATCGCAGGAGCGAACCGGAAGCGCGATTGAGCGGGCGATGGTCGCGAGGGTGACTTGCTGGCGGCGGGGGGTTGACCTGTGCGGAATGAGATGGACGAGCAAGTCTGAGGTCTCATGGTCGAGCCAAAGCCACGAGGGTAAACGAAGGCAGGATTGGAGTCGCACATGCAGGAGGGGAAGCAAACTTGCATGTTGTTGCGAGTAGAGTTGGTTTTGGATCGACGGCACGCTGGAATCGTATCCACACGGGTGCTGGCTGGGAGTGCCAAGTGGACCTAATTATTGGAGGCGCGGGAGCAGGATGCGAGCGGAAGACGGGAGTGAAGGCACAAGGGTTGCGTGGACAGGTAGGGGATCACACCATCGGAGTGGAGCAAGAGCGAAGTGGGATAGAATAGTGCTAAATTAGAGCCAATCGTGCGGAGAGGAGCGAAGGCACCAATATGATTGCCGACGTTCATTGTATTCTCTCTACGGAACGACCAAAATTAGACAATAAATCATATGTTTAATCAATTGAGGCATCCACTTGAGCTGTCCAAAGGGCTTCATGGAGCTGATTAACGTCGGCTACCCATCTTATTTGATGTCAGCCTTCTTCGACTGCCCATTTTCTTCAGCTACCATCATCGTCGACAGCCCATCTTCTCTAACAGTCCATCATTCTTCTTAAGCTATAAACTGGAAGGCTTTGATACCAACTGATGCAGTGCATCGGCAGAAGAAATGGACCAGCTAGAAGGAACACCCAATTCGAGGAACAAACACGAGCTCCAAGGCCTTAGAGTATAATATTAATCATGATTTACTACTACAATACAAGCATATATAAATTAGCCATAGAACATTCATAATAACAACTATAGCTAAGATGTCCCACATCAGTTGTTATCTTTGTATAAGATTTTTTTTTAAAAAAAAGGCATGTTGAATATCAATGGAAAACGACTTTATAATGCATGAATGTCCATAGTGTCTCTTACTAGCTAGTTGAACCTCATTGATCTAAATTTACTTCGCTTTTTGAGTTGCATGGTCTCTTAATAATGATGAAATGTGAACAATGACATCAAATAAAATTTCTCTCTAAACAAACTAGCAAAGAAGCTTCAACAAATTTACAATATGGCTTTGATTAGCATGAAAAATGTAGTACGCATAAATTTTGAGGTTAATGCATCTGGTTTTAAAAATAAAAAACAAAATTACTAGTACGGGAGTAAATTCTGAGGTTAATATATCTTATGGCAAAGTAGCATCCTAAAATTTTAAACGACTCCTCATACCCGTAAAAACCTTTATTTGGTGAATCATTCAGACATGAATAAATTGAGCTGCATCTTTATCGAGGGAAGAAAGAGTCTATTATGGGTTCTTGTTGATGTGATTCTAACAAGGATGATGATCCTTGCTATTTCCCTAAATGTACAAGACAACTTTTTAAGGAAAAAATAACTAGCTGATTTAAATGCAGCACTTGACATGTAAAATAGCCAATATTTCCTGCACTATGAATTTATACTTGAGTTTTATGATCTTGGAATAACGAATAGCTCCGCAATCCCCAATTCATCATTTCCATTAACTGTAATTCAAATAAGGTTCATTCTTGCATATCTGGTGATAAAGTCTACAAGAGGAGTGCAGAAAAAGATGTCCAATACACTGCCTTAGTCCACACAAGTGCAGCCACAACATTATTTGTAAATATGTAAGTGTTAAAAATGAATCACAAAGAATGCAAATGTTCTGCACACTACATCCAAATTTGCGAGGGTTGTGGGAAGCCCGAAAATAAGTTGAACAACAAATTGGAGTCCCACAGCAATCAGATACAACTAAAGAGTCCTCAGAAATCTGAAACTAGTCTGACCATTAAAATACGGTTTTCAACCATCAATGTTAGTGTACATATAGAAGCGCTATTATACCATGGAGATCGTTTGTGTGCGCTCAAACGAATCTATCATTTGGCTTGGAAATGAGAGAAACAAAATTCAAGAGTAGTAAAATAATCTAATGCAAAGAAGACTCCAAAAACAGAAGCACCATGTTTAATGGCAAAAATGCATTTGGATGTACAATTTTTTTGAAAAAATATCTACTATATCGCACATCGAATCCTAGAGATCAATCTCACCATTACCTACTAAGACATGGGAGTTCATTTTAATCAACATCTTGGAGAATTACAACAAACACAACATGAAAATAATTTAATTACCTATTCATCATAATGCAAACACTGTCATTGCACGGTCTCAAGTCCTGGATGAAAAAAGTGAAGGATTGCATTAGGTAGTCGACAACCAGCATAAAACTTGTCGAATAATCATGACATGAATCCTTTAAAAAATTTCCCCACGTAGTGGGACAAAGTCTTGATGTTGTTGTTGTATTCATCATAATGCACCATTTTAGCAAGATGGCATATTTGCTCATGTTAGAAGACAATTATAGGAAAGGAAACTATCATAATTAAAAGTGTCAAAATGCATTGATAGGTTGTCGGGTTTTATCCGAAATTGACCCCATCTGAATCCGGTCAATAAACAAGGCAAAAGACAAACCCGAACACAACTCGCTAGCAACCCGAATTACCCGAACCCAACCAGTTAACCTATTTTGGTTAAAAAAATATATAACTTATTAACTATAAAGTTTAGGATATTTGAAAAGAAAATGAAGATTAAAACCAAAAAATATAAGGAAAAAATATAGAACGAGTCATTTTGGGGTCAAAAACAACTTTGCGGGTCAACTTAAACCAGCATGTTCAATAAATGGGTCAAAAAATCCAACTCAAACCTAACCTGTTTATCAAACAAGTCAACCCATACTTCAATTTTTCAATTTGAAGTTAGTGGGTCGCATCATTTATTGACACCCCTAACCATAATTTCCAATATGCATAAAAGAACTTCAGGTTATCTTCATCCAATATTTCTAAGAAGTACAAAAAATTTCTAAAAAATTTCTTCAAAGCCTTCAGTGATTTGATGGAAACCAAACTAAAGAATGAAACAATCGTCCCATATATTGAGAAACTACAATTCACAAGATCTAGAGACTTGGGAGGACTGCCTTTCATACATGAAGTTTCCCTTCAACCGTGACATCAAAGACACCTTTTAAGCTATGCTTAAGTTACTTGTTGCAGAGCCCTTTTGATCTAGAGTTTTCAGTTGGAACCAAGAAGGATGTAAATGATGAAAATTACAATGAGAATTTCAATTACTAAACCAAGAAATGAAAGAAAATCTAAAGAAGATAAAGGAAAAGAATAAGACTTCCCTGGAAAAATAGGATTGAGTTCATTTTCTAGGAAGGTGATCAGGCATGTTTGCATTTGGGCAAGGACAAAACACAAGTATATTCTTCATGGTAGATTCTAGATTTTTTTAAAAAATTAATATGTGAAAACACTTTGATTAAGCATTCCTTATATGAGGGCCTACTATTTTATCAATGGAAAGAAATTGAAGTTATCAGAACTCCCATTATTAGTTTATGAAGAGGAAAAAATGAGAGTGATTCATATAATTGATGATCCCAATATCAACTTGAGAGGGAAAGTGCACGTGGATTGTATGGTAAATATTAAAAACACCTCAATGTGAGGAGGATTAAATAAGATTTTAAAAAGAGAAAAGGATAGACTCAAAGACATGACAAATGATATTAGAAGAAAGATGGAACTCAAGTAATTTATTAGCATTAATTAAACACCACCACCGCAACACTAACAACAACAACATCAAACATTTGTCCCACTACGTGGGGTCGGCTACATTAATCATTTTTCTCCATTGTGTCATGTTAAAAGTCAAATTCTCGTTTAAATCTAATAAAGAAATATCATTTCTAATATTTTCTAACCAAGTCTTTTTAGGTCTACATCTACCTTTCTTAACATAAGTCAAATCTAATAACTCTACTTTCCTAACCGAGTCATCAGAAGGCCGCCCATTTTATGTGACCAAACCATCCAAGGCGACTCTCTCTAATCTTATATCTTCCACTGACATTACTTCAACCTTTTCATATATATGCTCATTTCGTATCTTATCTCCAAGGGGAAAGCCACTCATCCACCTGAGCATCCTCATCTCTGCAACACTTAGTATTATGCTTCTCTTTTAATGTCCAACATTCGGCACCATAAAGCATTGCAGGTCTCACCACCATCTTATAGAATTTTCTCTTTAAGTTTGAGGGAGACTTTTCTATCACACAACCAGCCAGATGCATTCCTCAAGTTGAATTCTGCTGATAATATTCCCATCTATTTCACCATCACTCTGAACAATAGATCCAAGATATCTAAAACATGTACTCTTATGAATGACTTGATCGCCCAAAGTTACAATCCCCTTGCTAGGTCTATTACTACTAAAATTACACTTCATATATTCAATTTTAGATCTACTCAAGCGAAAACCTTTAAACTCTAAGGTTGACCTCCATAATTCAAGTTTACCTTCAACTCCCTCTCTAGTCTTATCAACAATAAGAAGAATATCATCAGCAAAAAACATACACCAAGGTATATCCTCTTGCAAATGCCTAGTGAAAACATCCATGACTAAAGCAAAAAAATATGGATTTAAAGCTGATCCTTGATGTAATCCAACTGAAATAAGAAAATACTTGGTCAAACCACCTTGTGTTTGAACAGAAGTAATAGCTCATACATACATATCTTTAATGATTTAAATATAAACATTATTAACTCTTTTCTTTTTAAGAACTCTCCATAGCACTTCTCTTGTTATCATATGCTCTCTATTTTCTTTTTTTCTTTTTTTTTTCTATCTCTAAATCAATAAATATAAAACGTAGATCCACCATATTCTCTATATTTCTCCATCAAACCTCTCAATAAATGTATCGCTTCCATAGTAGACCTACCCGGCATGAATCCAAATTGATTTTGAGAAACATTAGTATCACGCCGCAACCTATATTTCATAACTCGCTCCCATAGTTTTAAAGTATGACATAATAACTTAATTCCTCTGTAATTAGCACAATCTTGTGCATCACATTTATTCATAAGAATAAGAATTAGCACACTCCTCCATTCATTTGGCATCTTTTTAATATTCCAAACAATATTAAAAAGTTTAGTAAGCCAAGAAATTTCATCATCTCCTAAGCATTTCCACACCACTATTGGAATACCATCAGGTCCAACAACATTAATTAAACACCAAAAAGAGATGAATTAAGCAGGTATTAATAGTGTTAGGTTGTTAATCTGAATTATTTTCTTAAGAAACACGTAAGTTTCATAAACAATAAAACCATTCAAAATATAAGAAACAATACGACGCTTCCTTAAATCCTCTCTCTATAACACTCAAATTCCAGTCTCCCTACTCCCATTCAAAATTTTTTCATGAGGCTTAAGCACAAGCTCTACAAGATTCTAACTCATGAAGCATGCATCAAGGTCCCTACTCCCATGACTCTTAGAAAGTAGAGTGAACTCATTGATGACTATGAGGGCATTCTCAACTATGGCTCAAAGTCAAGCTTTAGAAAAGTTGGCTTTAAGCCCACTTAACCACTTGTTGATCGATTTTAGGCCCATAGTTTAATCATATGACCTCTTAAGTGATCTAGATCCTCATTAAGATCCCTAGGAACTTAATAGACTTCATTGAAGAAGCCACCCCTAACTTAGATTACTCCCTTGGCCAACTTATTTCCAACTTTCTAGAAACCAACAAATGCAAAGTTTACATTGTCTTAATTCACCAAGTCAAGACCCATCTGCACCCTCGAGTCACCATTTTTAAATTTGTCATTAATTAAGTGGCATCATTTTATCGATCTTCATGCTAAAATCTCATTTATATGCCCATTGGCCTAGATAACTGATTTAGGTGGTCCAAACCCTCATCAGGATCTCGACAAACCTAATATAATTTACTAAATTACCACCCACAGCTTAGTAGTCTCCCTTGAGAGACCAATTTCAATTTATTAGAGACTAGTTAGAGCATAGTCGGCATTAACTTAACCCATAAAGTCATGACCCATCGACACTCAAAGATGTCTCCAAATTCAATGCCAACTTTGCGACACCATGCAATTGTCCTCTAGGCTGACATCTCACTTATGACTTTTGGGCATGATTTTTTATCTTAGCATTATTAACAAATAACCCTATTCCAAAGTTTTGTCTTAGCACTCACCACCGTAAGATGATTTCTCAAAGCCTTCTCTGACGGAGTCTCCCTTCCTAGTGACTTCTCTATGCCTCTCCTAAAAAATCTCCGCTTCCTGGTGATATCTCATCAATGAAATTAATCATAAACCATATGATACATTCCCAACAATTTACCATAAATACCTTCTCATCTAATGGAAACCCCACCTTGGGCGCCCAATGCCATCTCAATGCTACGTCATATAGTTGACATTCAATCAATGCCTTCGCACCTAGTGGCAAACACATCTAGGAACCAATAATCGTTTTATGGGCACCACCCACTCCAAGTTGGAGTTTGGCCAACACATATCTCTTAAGCTCACCTAAGAACCTAAGGGTCCATGTTATGAGTTCCTTATGGCCTTTATTTGTTAAGTCCACTTTCCAAAAATAAGTGAATATCGGGAAAAAAAATTCTTTCATCTTTTCCTTTATTTCTTAAAAAGATTTTTTGCATGAGAATTGGCTATCCTCACAAAAGATGTCTTTTACTAAACCGCATGTCAATTATCCTTGGCTCTTAGGCCATAATAGCTACTTCTAGCTATTATAGAATATTTAACCTTAATTTTTCATTTGGTTAGGACATAAATCATTTTTGGGGCATTAAGATTACACCCTAATATTTTTTCCTCAATTTTTAAGGATATATAACTCAATTCCTTCAATCCATTTTTTTGCAATTGATGTAAAGTTGTTTCCCTTATCATTTGTAAACCTTCCCTAGGCTATAAGACCCTCACAATCAGCATCAACCCTTGGGATGTTATAGGTCCCTACTTACTCTTTTCAATAATTCTTCTCTATGGATCATAAGACCACATGCACACTACTCACATTATCTACAAATGTGTTGAAATAGCATGACGTAAACTAATACATTACAAATTCAACAAAAAAAGTAATAACATAGAGTTAGGCAAAATAAAATTATAATGATTGCCAATAAAGACATTATACTGGAAAATTAAACTTCTTATTCCAAGCTAATCAATAGAGATGTGGCATAGTGATGGAAATTTGAAAGTGTATACTAATAAACAATGTGAGATGAAAATTTTAAGGTGAACACATCAATAATTTTAATGATGCTTACTTTAATTGTTTCATTTCATGATTTTGTTTTCTGGTTTGTATATTGTATGTAGCATGCCTTTCATGATAGTTTTCTCATAAAAATTTTTGGATACGTTCTTTAATATTTGATTAACTTGTTGGGATTAGTTTATCATTCTAAGTGTTTCAAATGAACTCACAAATTTCATTTCATGATTTTGTTTTCTGATTTGTATATTGCATGTAACATGCCTTTTATGATAGTTTTCTGATAAAAAATTTGGATATGTCCTTTAATATTTGATTAACTTGTTGGGATTAGTTAATCATTCTAAGTGTTTCAAATGAACTCACAAATTTCATATTTCAACAATAATACACATAATTTTATTTTATATGCCATAAATCATTCAAAAACTATAGCTTGGACCAATTTTAAGTGTGTGGAGTTGTTTCAATATCAACCCTCCAAACTAATAGCAAGTATACGAGCATATTCTTGGCCTTGATTATGATTTGTAACATATATCACTTGCATGTTTTGGAACTAAATAGAATGTTGTTTCATGATTTGTTATTGTTGCCATATTCAGCTCCAATTCTTTTTCATATTGTAGGCCATATCATTGCTTATATTTCCTATTCTTTGACTTCTACCATAGTAGGAATTGAAACAAAATTATTTTGTATTGATTGAATTGGAAATTTTCACCCTATCTAGCTTCTAAGATTATTGAATTGAAATTTACAATTTTTTGTCAAATATAGTAGGATTTTTAGAAACTGCTGATTTTGAGTCCTTTTGGTTATAAATAAGTCATCAAAAAAATATAATTTATAATGAATTATTCAATAATTTTTTTATTTCTCTCAAACTTGTGGATGTTGATACGAGTGAATTAGTTAAACACTTAGCAAGTCTTAACAACAATGCCCAAGGGACGCTACTCCCATTGGCGTGAGACTGGATCAGCTAATTGGTTATTTATATCCTTCTATTTTCAACTAGATTATTTTATGCTTGCTTTGTGCACATGATTGAGACATTTTTTAGTTTGTTATCAATTTTCATTTTCATAGTATGAATATTAACAGTTGTGGGATTTTATATTCCCTCTGAAACATTTATTATTGTTTGGAACAAATGCATGTGTTTTTAAATTTGGCATCAAAATAGACTAATACAACAACAACAACAAGCCTTTATCCCACTACGTAGAGAAAAAAGACTAATCATTGCCTAAAATAAAAGTTAAAAAAATGTGATTTGTTGTTATTTCTATTTGTACATCTCATACTAAGTTTGCATTAATGAGCCCTATATCATAAAGACATTCTACATCACACAGTCTAGTAAGTTCCAATTCCCAAGTGCTTCCTCAGTTTTCCTTTAGATACTAGCAAATAGCTTTCATATTTAGTAGCACTTTTGCAGCTGCAGCAATAGAACATATTAGCAGGGCAAGTAAAGCATAACCTTTAAACTAGTAAAATGAATAATGAGATGGGACAATTTAAAATACTCCAAAAAAAAACATCGATCCATCACAACTCTTGCAAGATTGGCCCAATTCAGTGATTCTGTAAATTTAAGTACAAATTTATTTAAGAAAAAAATTGCTTATTGGCTCTAAGTCCAGAAATTATAACAAATTCAATTTCTCAACTACACAACATAACCGGCTGCTTAACAGACGTTAAGCAAGTATAAATATTTCACAAGTGGAAAAGTTGACATGCAAAATAAAGAAGAATTTCAAATCAAACAAAAGTACCAGTTTCTTGTGCACCGTGAAAAGAGGTTTTACTGCCAAAGGAATAAATACAAAAAAAAAATCGCCACATAAGAAATTTTTGTTGAGAGTATTTCATCGAGCCATATTTTCTTTATAAACCAAAGGAAAAAATTTAGTAATTTGTGCGCAACCTATTACTGCATGGAAGATTCTTAAATACAATAATTACAAATTGTGCCTCATTACAACAATGCAACGCCCAATTAACACGCTTAACAACAAAAAAAACTAAAACCAAATCAACAGAGCAGAAAAGGCAATAGCATATTGTAGAAGCATTTAATGTACATAGGAGAATGAACGCCAGAAATAACAATAAACAGAAATCAAAACTCGAACTATTCAAAGCAGAAGAAAAATCAGAAAAGAAAAACCCCATCAAAGACAATCGAGAATGAAAGCGGAAATAGAGCTGAAATAAACTAATTCATGTAATCCAACAATCTCATCCAGTAAAACAAAATCTTAAAATCAAATCGTGTTATAGTAATAACCCTAGGAACCTGATATCAACCAAAAATAACTACAGAGAAATTTCTCCCCCACGAGCAAATAAAACCCCAACCAGCTGACACAATATCTGCCGAATCGAAAGAAGATGCATAAAAAAGTTTCGAGAATGAGCACCTCGCCCGCAGACCTACCAAATGGTACGATTCTCCGATTGCGCCTTCCTCGAACCAAGGAAAAGAAGGAAGAGGAGGCAATCGAGGAGCTTAGGCCTTCAGCTCCAGACTTCTCCTCGCCGTCTGAAGCTCGCTCGGAGACGCGGAGAGCTGGACTAGAAATGTGACAGCGAATTTAAGGCTTTGAATGTTTTCGAACGAGTTAGGGAAGCGGGAGGAATCGATTACGCGTCAGAGAAACCCTAATTTTTGAAAGGGCAAACTGAAATGGGCTGTGGAACTTTAAATAGGGCCGCCGGGCCGTCAGAGGATCCTTCTGTTATATGCTTATTTATTTTTTGTTCAATACTAGTTGAACCAATGAAGTAAATATAACATAATAATTTTCAAAAACATATTTTAATTGTTTTTATTTTATATTTGAATTTTCCATAATTTTGAATAGTAAATATAATAAACATTTTGATTTTATATGTTCCATAATACAAGTAATTAAAAATATATATTTTTTAGACATACACCTAAAAGTTATTTTCATATAAAACTATCCCTATTTATATTCAAAAAATTGATTATTAAAGCTCGTCACAAGAGAAATTAATTAGAACTAGTTCAAATTTGAATCTTAAATTGAACTTGAATTGAACATTTACTCGAAAACTAGAATGGAACTCGCTAGAGCAATCATTGTGAAAACTTCAATATGATGATAATTGTGAAGTCGAGTGAAATAGAGCTTGTTGGGAAGAAAATAATGAAACTAGTTGTGATGGACCTCATCAGATCTTATTAGGGATCGAGGGATCATGGTTTGCGACATAATGGCAAGATCGACTCGTAAGGGTAGAAGTGTTGTTCGGCAATGCAGCTCGATGGGAAGGTATCGCAAGATCAGTCCAACATAGCTCGCTGTAAAAGGCATCACAAGATCAATGGAGAACAATTATAGTTCAAACAAAGGTTCGAATTAGGTTGAATCGGGTCTGAAATGTGATTTGAATTAGGTTCAAATTAATATTCGAATTTGAATCAATTTCCGTAGTGATGGGCTTCAATAAATAACTCGAGAATATTTATATGAATTTAAATGAACTTTTAGTTTTAGGCATAGTCTTTTAAGAAAATAAATATCAATGATGTTTTTTTTCAAATATTTGTTATTATGAAACATATAAAATCAAATTTATCAATATAATATTTGCCATTAAAATCTAAATCAACTCTAAACAAACTATTTAAATTTTAATTTTTTTTACTAAACCAAACAATCATAATTTTTTAGAATTTACTCAAACACCTAAGAGAGTTTATTGGTTATATGAATTGGAGCACATCTTTCTTTGTAGGCATGAATTATATATCCTTCAATAGTTAATTTTTAAAATTGATCATTTAGTTCTATGTTATAAATATACCATCTATTTTCAAATGAAAGAGAGATGAAATGGGAGAGAACCTAGATTTGAGAAATTTAGAACTATGTCTGAGGATCGTTACTGATGTTCACCGCTAGCAATCATCATCACTTATCATCACGGTGCTATTACTCGACCAACATTGCGTGAATATCATCGTCTAATTGTCATCACCCAACCACAATTGCATAATTGTCATCACTCGACTGTCGTCACTTGTCTACTATTGTCACAATCATTACCCGATGACAATCTCCTAATCAATATTGACATTGACGGACAAACCTCCATCTTCATAACCATCTATCATTTTTCCAACATTCTCTACTATATTCATAGGAGACCAAGTTAACAATCTTTACTTCAGCCTCCTATCCTTATTTTCCTTTCCGACAATTTTGACCTTTTTATAAGAATATTCTAATGCAAAACATATAATTTAGGTGTCGTTTGGGATGACTTTTTTATTGCTTCTTAAAATAGAATTTTAGTTAAATTTTTTTAATTTTTGTACTGAAACTCTATTTTAAAAAGCAATAAAAAAATCGTCTCAAACTAAGCCTTAATTTCTTTGACATAGCTCATTTAAGTCTGTTGGTTGGGAGCTGTGGTTATGAACCAAGAGGTCTTGTGTTCGAGTCTTACGTATATGATGTGGATGTGAGTTTGACTTTATTGATCTAAAATGTGGATCCCAAAAAGAAAAAAAAAATCTGACTTTCATTATCTAAATTTTATTTGACTATATTATAACCAAAATATTTACTTGAAAATTCATGAAATTACAATCCTTTTAATGAAAAATGAAAAAAAAATATATATTCATAATTATGACTTTAATTAAATGCATGATAGAGATGAATAAATCAACCAAATGATTAAAAAAAGTAAGGAACAATTAATTGAAATAATTAGTGGACTAATCAATCTTCTTCATAGGGTGAATCCAAGAGCAAGAGCGGGGAGGAGCATCTGTGGAAATAAACCCAAAAGCTCACTAACAATCAACGCTTCTGCTTTTTAAAAATAATTCAAATATAAAGAAATTAGTTGTTGAACTATCATAAAATTTATATTATTAAATTAATAATATTATTGTAGTTTTTGTTAAAATTTTAAATATTTTTTTTATAAATATTACATCGTAGTAGATCTAATTATTAAAAAAAATTTAATCATATATATTTCTAAGAAATTATAATGAAATTGTAGCTTGTTAGAAATATAAAATACAATTATTTGCGGAGCTAAGGAGGAACATCCCCAAGAAAAAAATTAATTTTTTTATTATTTTATTCAAATAGAATTATAATTAATCATATTTATTTTTTTATTCATCTTCTTATAATTTTCGTCGTTGAGATCTAGCATCCCGAGCTCTCCATCGCGTTCACCGTCGAGTCTCGAGCTCATTGTCGCGGTCGCCGTCGAGTCCCAAGCTCGTCGTCGCGTCCGCCGTCGAGATCCAGCGTCCGCCATTTGTCCGTCGAGTCCCATCGTCGTTGTCTTGTCCGCCCGACCTTCATTCATTATCCCGCTCGTAGCTACGCAAATTTTTTTCCCGCCCAGTCACGCACTCGAGCTACTCGCCGAGCCGACGAGTCGAGTCGGAGATCTGTTTGAGCTCGAGCTCGATAAGCCGTTGTGCCCTACTCATGAGCTTGAAAAGCTCGACTTGTCGAATCTGTTACCGAGTCATGTCTGAACCGGCTTGCGAGTCAATTTGACTCAGTTGCACCCCTAATATAGCATATGAATGAATTTCTATTAAAGGAGATTTACATAAATATCCCAAAGTTTTATACATTTACATAGCTAACATTACATATGGGTATAAATATAATATTTATGCGCTTACGGTGACAAACATCCCAAAATAGATCCGCAGTTGTTGCATTCGCTTCCTTTAAAATATGGGCTTATAAATAGTACGATAGAGTTGACCGTTTGGGCTTCGGACAAATGTGAAGCTTTCTTTAACATTTTTCAGCAATAATTTGTTCATATTAAAAGAGCTAACCGGCCCAAGAGCCAGCCATATATATACCATCACGTGGCCTATAAAAGTTTAAAAAAAGAATATTGGGAAAAAAAAAAGAATATTATTAAGACAAACGATAAAACTTAACATGAGAATTCATTAATGCTTCAATTGGAACTACTATTTAACTTTTTTTTAATAAATATTTAATAAAAACATTTTAAATTTAATAAAAAAGTTATATTAAAAAATTATTTTGAAAAATTATTTAAAAAGCTATCCCAAACGAAAACTAAAGCCAGCCATATATAAACCATCATGTGGCCTACAAAAGTTTTTAAAAAGAATATTATTTTTTTGGAAAAAAAAAGATATTATTGAGATAAATGATAAAACTTAATACAATATGAGAAGGTATTAATGTTTCATTTGAGACAATTTTTTTATTATTTTTAAATAATTTTTTAATCCATTTTCACCATAGCATGAGACAGAGATGACCAAGAGAAAGAGACAATCACAGTGTCAATCTATATGGGTTTGCTAAAAGGCAAATAATGCAAGCGATATTAAGATATCATGATTAATCAAAAGGACTTTATTGAGGAACCCAACTCACATTGGGGTCATTATAGGTTCTTCATTAATACCAAATTAGGGATTACATTTAAGAATTTTTATAAAAATTTGTAAATCTGATGAGTAAATAATCTGAATTGTCTATGTTAGATCAATCCCAACTAAATAAGATTGCGATGAGGTGGCCTCCCTAAAAGAAAAACGAGCCATTAGAGAAACGGATATGACCCATGATAAACTACATTGAACCTCTAGCCATTTCAAAGAAACATGATTATTTGCACAATCACATTCATAGGGAGCAACTCGAACTTTAAAGGTGTGCTAAGGATGGTCGAAAATGGTGTTCTATAAAGCAAAAGAGAACACAAAAAACTAGCGAATTGGAGAAGTATGAAGTAATAAAGGAGGTTGACACTACACAAAAGCATATAAAGGCGTTGATGATGTGGGGTTAGAACAGAAATGTCATTATGAGACAATGATAGCGTAGGATCAAAGAAATGGAGTGACAACAATAGTTAGGTTGATGTGGACTTAGAAATAGAGGGGACTATAATGGCTAATGCAGGTATGAAACTCATATTTAAATAATGCCCTTTAACTTTTTTATCATGGATGTCTTGATTTTTGTGCTAAAAACATATATGTTTAAAGATTTCAAATATAACCAAGATTTTTTTAGTTGTGAAAGGACTCGTGGCCCATTGGTTAAAGAAGGTGGTTATATCTCCAATGTCAAATGCTTGAGTCAGACATTATATGATTTATCGCTCATCATCTCCTGATTTTTTTTTTAACTTTTCACCACTTGATTGCATTAAAACTCTTATTGATTCATCGATTGGCCCTAATACAACACCATTTAGATCATCACCAATTTTAAATCCAAACCATCTCTATTAATTTCGAAACAAAATCATGAACAATACTTTTTTACTATGAGAATAATGATCCCAGAGATAAAAAAGATGATTAATTTGAGTTTCACGTGGTAATTATCGATAAAAAATAAAATTGATATGTCATTAAAACATTATCTTGGTCATACACAAATCTCGATGCATATATGAATCAGAAACTTCTAAAATTAATTTCATGCCCATCTGAACTTTGATGTCGGTAAACTACTGAATGTCTCGATGAATGATCCTTGGTCGATGGAGTTGAAATTGGTACGTCATATATTGGAATACTTTCAACATGCACTAGATCTTCTCTCTATTTACTAGTCGTGTAAATTACAAAAAAAATATAAATTGATCCCTCATTCTTCGCAAGGGGGGAAGGGGAAGAGGAGAAGAGCTCTA